CTATATTCCATAATTGCGTCTCTTTTTCTCTCTTCAATTTTTTAATAAATTCTGTTCGTTCTGCATACCAAAAGAACTTTTATCTAGAACATATTTCCTAACGCTCTATAGCTACGTAGTTTGCTAACAAACTTGTAGCAAAATGTCATATGAATATTTACCGAGTTATTGATTTGTAAAAATAGAATAGTTCTTTATCACACAATTGGTACGTTAAGGTATTTAATTAGCATGCACTACGTAAATTCAAGTTAACCACCACGATTCACAATATTTTTGCAAAGTATAGAAAGTTTATTTCATTTGCGAATTATGATTTATATTAACGTGTAGTTAATCTGATAAAATTACACACGAGACAAACAACGTAAAGTATTGTTTAACATTATCACTTCGAAGGTAATCAGTCGGAAAGTCCAGTCTTTCTATACTTCGCAAAAATATTGTGAATCGTGGTGGCTAAACTTGAATTTACGTAGTGCATGCTAATGAAACGCCTTTACATACCAATTATGTGATAAAGAGCTATTCTATTTTTACAAATCAAATAATACTGCTGTTTATAAATGGTAAAAATACACATGCACGTACATAATAGAAACAATTATTTTTTAAAACTATTTACGCGGATTTACTTTAATTAACAATTTAATTCCCAGGAATTAAATATTTCAATTAAATTTTTTCTCTTGTGTATTAATTTTCAAACTAAAAATAATTTTTCCGCTCAATATTATACTATACTACAAAAAATCAAATTAACGTGATAAAAATGTCTTCTTCCCACGTCATTCTAATTACTACATCTTGTAGCTTTAATGTTTTGCTTTGATGATTCTGAGAGATGAATGAGTTTTATTAATAATCAATATTTTTTATATATACTTTTATTATGATACAAAATAATAATTATATATATATATATATAATCCCATTGTCAAATGTTTTATGATTAGAAATATAAAACATTCGCCAAATTATAAAGTATTATGCATCAAATCATTGCAATGAATGGTTAGATCACACAAGTCCGTAAAGAGGTAAGACAAGTTACAAGTCGCTCACTTTTCTCGACGAAAAATAATGAAAAAGGTAAGCACCTAATTTGCTACTTGAGTACCTTGATTTGGTAAGTAAGCGTAAAGTAAGTATAAAGGATAGACAGGCTGTTTCTATGGTGCGTAGTCTGTCTTGCGCGGCTCCATCGGGAAAATGAGGAGAGGAGGATTTGTCATCGCCTGCGAGGCGACACCGGAAATACGATTTGTACGTGCGATCGATCAAAACAAACCTTCGTCTCTTGGCACCGTAGCGGCGGCAGCGGTCGCTCTATCCGAGGCGATTCGATGAGCTAACGCCAACTTAACGCTACACACCCCACTGAGCCGCACTCGGTCAGATAACTCGTGGATTTTCGAGCACTCTGCAGTCTCTCCAATCGCTTCCTCACTTGTGGATTCCGCCACCGCGGTGTTTAATTCGCACCGAGAACCTTCGCGGAATTTTTCATGCAAAGGGAATCCGAATCGCCGGATCATTACACGAACTGGATAAGGGGAACCAATTTTTAGACTTTCATAGTCACACATGTAATAAGTAATATATCTTTACTTTTAAACAATCAAAGAAGTATAGGCTTTTTAACAATAATAATCAATAACCGTTGTTCTGTCCAATCTCTTGAAATGCGTTTTGTTTCAAGCGATTGGACAGAACAACGTCTTTATAGGTGATGCAGTAATTTATTTGTTATTTAAAGTATTAATACTGAGGAAGGCCCAAAACTCGGGTCGAAACGTTTATTATATTTGTGCATTAGATAGTAATAAAATTGTAATTCGGAACTGCAACTAGCGTCGGCTCTTAGCAGGCTTTTTAACAGGTTATTGATTATATACTTTTATATATAATAAAATAATAATTATATAATTCCACTGTTAAAGATTTGTTGTAGCTGTTTTATTGCTGGAAATAAAACACTCTTTATTATTATATATAGAGAATTCAATCTCAGTGATGAAGTCAATTTCAACGAATGACTAGATATAGCAATCTTGTATATTAAAAATTAATCTCACGGGCTGTAAAATAATACAGATCTTTTTGATTCAGTTTCTTATGATTTAATTACTAATTTTTAATTATGAATTCTCTCTAAGTATCATTTATATCACTGTTTTAATTTTTATGACAAATCTCTGATAGAAATGAGACAAATTTAATAAGAATTTATAATCAGCTCTTTTCTCGATCACATTTTGTTAATATAGGGCTTGCCATTATCTTCTCTAAGCTTTTCTACTTATTTATTTAACTTTAAAGAATTTTATGGATTTGATGACAATTTCAATTAATTTAACATGACGCCTGTAGTTATTTTAATTATTCGACTTTTAATTGAACTACAATTAACAATAAATGGAAGATTCAATTATTAGAAATTTACGACCATTTCATATTGTTAATACGTACTGAAAAGGACTTAAATCTGGAATCGAAACGTATGCTATTTGAAATTTTATGTATGTATTAATTATTATCGAAAATACACAATAATTCAAGCACTGTTAACTGTGTTGGCTCATACAGACTTTCATGCTATTAATGTACACAAGTTGTATTATATATAATTGAGAGAATTTGGGGGGAAAAGAGAAAGATCAGTGAACAATTATTTTCAATAAATTGCTAAAGTAAAAGTAAAAAAAGTATCCTGTGATAGTACTAATTCTTATGCACTGCATACGTCTAAACTTGGCAGGATTGAAATCCTTTGCGATATAGTGAACCGTTAATAAATAAACCGTTTCTATGAAATAACAAAATTGTTTTGGAATATACGGGAAAAAATTTGATTGAAATTGATATAATCGATTACGAGCTTGATGTTCGTTCCATTAAAAAAAAAAAACAAATAGATGCGTTACGGATACAATGATCACAAAAGATTCAATTATTGTGATTATAAATAATTACACAAAAAAGAAGAGTAAACACACTATTGTTATTTTCCTAAAAATTGTGTACACATTTTTTGCTATTCTGAATTATTCGAATTTTAATTTTTAACTAAAATAAAATATATTTTATTTATCATATTAAGTCTATTATGTTAAAAATTAAATTTCGAATAATTCATATTTATGATAAATACTCCATGTTTATTATATTATATAAATAATAAAAAAAATTTGACCGATCTTTATTTGATGTATTCACATATACGGTCGTGCTTAAAATTCTTAATATAATAAAATTCTTAATATAATAAATAATATTTATTATATTATTTATCATATTATCATAATTTTTTTCAATGTGTTCTCGAGTTTTCTAAATTTATAACAACATACATTAAATTTATATCACACATGTACAATATATATCCATGTTAAAATCATTAATAATATTTATAATATTTTCTAGCATAGTCTGTCAAAAATCAGTATGATATATTAAAAGATAAATGTAACAAAATTATCAAAGATTAAGAGGAGGAAGTTATTGAATAAAGACGTCGTATTTAGATGCTCCTTTTAGCTTGGCGTTTTAACTAAGTTATAACTTACTAAGTTTTAACTTATGTACGACGACTACCAAGATGTCAAGGGATAGAAATTATGATCTCGCGACGGAACAGCGAAGGATCCCGCGGAACGAATCGGTGGGCTCGAAGGACACAACGAGGCGGACGAGGAACGTGAGGACTGGAAGGCGTAAGAGAATGGAAATCAATACGTGAAGTGAGCAGCCAGTTTCAGGCAGAAGTTGCCGGCTTTAGAAAGCCTTGAGACGTCGTCTGCCCATCCTCTTCGGACCCTTGTGTTAAGAGAGCTCGAGCAGGGATGGGCGAGAGCGAAGGAAGCGCCAGTGACAGAAAGTTAGAGGAAGCGAGAAGGAACGGGGGTGGGTATACGAGAGAATAAGAAAGAGAGAGGGAGAGACGAGAGGTTCCATTCAGGACTAATGGGGTTAAACGCCTTAGCCATCAACCGAACGCCTCCCTCTTGATTCTCGGACGTTTCGATTCGTCCGGGGCTAGAATTCGAATTATCCGTAATATCTCCGAACATAGTTTACGTTCGCCGAGACTTCGTCTCGCGAATTAATAGGAGAAGTGTGTGCGCGCGAATAGAAAAAAAAACGTCGCACGCGGCAATTACCTCAGAAACGTTCTTAGCCATCACGATGCTGTCCCTTTAAGTGCTGATTTGAAAATTCCTTATTTAAATCTTAAAACTTAAATCTTGAAATCTCATTAGTCTAGGTCCACAATCCTGCTTTAAGAGGCCATAAGCTATAAAGCCGTAAGAAATTGACCAATCACAGTTGATTATTTTTCTCATGTCCAATGCTATTTTAGAGGCATATAAATGTTGGCGTCGTTAATGCAAAACACCAATCGCAGAAACAGAATTCGTTGCACGTATGGTGGTTATATGCCATCGGCATTTCGTAGTCATCGTCCAGAAGTCGTTGAGTTTTATGCTTCTTGGAAGGAGAGGACAAGAGAGAGAGAGAGAAAAAGAAAGTTCCGCCTCCGTAAAGGTTTTATCATAATCGTTCTCGTGATGGCCCGTCGTAATGGAATGCCGGATTAGAAAATGACATATGATCAAAGATCGACACGAAGGGATCTTTTGATATACTTTCGAAGATCACGATGGGGTTTCACACGTCTTAATCTTCTGATCGCAACTTTGGAGACATGCAACTTTGGAGACAATGACATTTTTTTATCTTGTCCTATATCATAACTATAAATCTCATTATTAGATTATGAATAATGATTCCTACATTGATTTACGTATTTTAACATTACGAATTTAAGAATTACAAGCGTCAATATTCGGTTCAATATTTTCGATATTACTCTTACTATAGCTATGAACTGTTAATAACTATCACATTGTTACTTTTGTTTTTAAAAATGCTCTCCAGTTGTGGATATCGATAAACGTTGACATTTTACAATTTTATAATTAGAAAATACAACTTACCTTTGTGTGCCATGTCGTCAGCAGTGACCGAAGCTATGAGGCCGGTTGCGCCCGGCCATGGAGCGACCGCAGCGCCCAATTGCTGCGAAGGCAGAATCTTCGGGCCTTTAAACACTTCTCGTTCACTGAAACCATAATTAATATCGTTAGAAAAAAATCTCAATCTCATAGCAATAATAATAACGTCTTTTCGTCCAAAAATTAGATTATCAGACCAATTAATCGTGTGATTGAGAAAGCAAGAACGATAGTACCTAGTTTCGTAATAGTTGGTAAACATGACTGTAAAATGATTTTAGGCAATTAATAACGCAAAAGAATATAGTGCTTGTATCGAAGATACTTGACGGTTTCGATGACCCATCCAAACTGTCCGTATTAAACGTCGTAGTTAATTTGACGCCCGCGCCGTATGCTCGAAAACTATATGTATCTATAACACCTGTGTAAATCTGTCATTTGCATATCGTGGTCGCATATGCGTCGCCTTGAGCAGACAAATAAACCGATCTCTTCCCGCGCTGTTACCTCTAAACCGCACGGTTCCTATCCTACCGCAACGTCTCCACACAATCTACTTTAACCTTGCGTTCTACAAAGCGCATAGGAAAAAGAAGATACATATACGTATGTATATATATATATATATATATATATAAACCATCATAGATTCTTTTGCCAATAGATATCGAAGAACTAACTTGAGGAAAAATTATACTGGCAATTGTATCTTATACTGTACGAAATATAAATATACAAATATAATAAATCATGGAAATATAAAGCAATATGATTTAAAAAATTTCAGAGAAATTCAAATTCGAAGAGATAAATAACAAAAATCTTTTAAAAATATAGATTAACTCATATTATACAATAACAAAATTCTGTATATAAAAATAAAGGCAAGTAAAAGTCAATGCGAATGTCGGTGTGTAAAATTACAAAATTTTAATTATATAATATTAAGTTTACATTAAGAAAATCGAGATGACAATATATATAAAGTTTACGTTATTACATGTTTCGACTGCCTTTTTGATGTCCCTCTTCAGATGTCCAAAATAAATAAATCAAGAAGGAAAATGCAACAATATCTTTTCGATTTCTCATGTTAAGTAACTCCAGAAACTCCAGAAATTCACAAAACGATTGAAAGACCGTAGAAGAAAAATTCTGGAGATTGTGAACTTAATACATCAAAGGGTAAAAACAAAAACCTGGAATGTTCTATAAAATCGAGCAATTTTTGTTTAAATTTTTTAGTAGTAAACTTTTTTAAGTAGTAAACTCACCATTAGAACTGCAAGTAACACACAGAAATATTTTGAATAGAAAATTTGACAAAAAATTTCTTAAATGAGAGTCAAATTATTAAGATGAATGTCAGTCGACCATATACAGATATTGATTAAGAAAACAGTTATAATAACATAAGTTTTGTTTTGTTTATAATAGAAAGATACGCAGAGTAAAGACTCTCTGTCTGTTTGGAGATTGAGGCTTATTTCGTTTCTTAATGTATAATAATATCTCTGATATTAGTCATTTACTATAACAAGGTTCTTAATCCAAGGTTCTTATATTATTCCAGTCGAAATGATAGTCGAATTACGCGGTCTATAATCGAAAATTACCGAACAGGTAGACGAATTCCAGCAGATATGATTACGATGTTCGCTAATTCATGTTTTCAACTGTCTACTCGTCTAGCCGACATAAGAAGTATTACAATCTTTATAGTCAATCCTATATATACAACGTTGCCTTTAGACAAATGTGGACGAGAATCTTTGTGAACTTTAATAAATTCAGACAGTTTATTGATGTTTATTGACGAAAAAGAACACTCTAATATCTTTATTAATAAATTGATTAAATTTCTCAGATATATTTATTGCATATATGGAACGATAAGCCATACAGAATCAGATGAATTATCATTACTATTATTATTATTCTTTTTATTATGAGTGTGTTGTACATAATTCTTAGTAATTTTACGCACTGACACATACGACTTTCACGTTGACTCTTACATGCCCTTATTTTCACATATTGAAAACTCTTTTATCTTAAATAAAATTTAATAAAAAATTTAATTTAGAGTTACAAGATAAATTGTTGATAAATTTTTATATGTAAGGTATTGGTAAAAATTATAACAGATTATCAAAATAAATGATTTCTTAATTAATATTTATATTAATTTCTATTAACATTTTTCAAATTTATGTTATTTATTAACAGAGCTATTTATTAATAATTGCATGTATCATTATACAATACCAATCGATCTTCATATTCTCAAATACAAAGAACGTAAATCATCCCTGAAACAAATGGAATCTCGAACGTCGTTACATTGATGACATGAAGTGTTTTAATTACCGAGAATCACGCTCGTTGAAGATGTGAATTACTTGCGAACGTAATACCCTCAGTATATTTTTCACTACTACAGACAGAAAAAAGAGGATGAAGTGAGAGTTGGTGGTACTAGAGGGAATGAAAATGGAGCTAAGCGTGATAATTAGCGTCGGAAAGGGTTAGTCGGCTGAAAGCGTACGAGTTGTATCGCTCCATATATAAAACGTATAGAGAAAGCATGAGAAGCTGCAAGAAGAAAAACAGTTTGTGAAAGAAGTTTAAATGCAGAGGGTAAAAGTCGTATCGAATCGTTAACGGCATTGCAAAATATATTACGAAAATTAAAAATAATCTCTAGAAGCTTCACTTACAAATGCTTCCGTTTCGTTCGATTAAATTGAGATCAATTTTGAATGTCTTAAATATAGAACATACGTTATAAGCAATTCGAGAAGGGTAACAATATTTAGGCATAAAATGAGAAATAATTCTCAAATTTGAAGTTGTGACAAAGGGCGGTATTCATAATCTTATATTTAGGATCGTCTTAAATACAATTTTAAAATGTCATGAATTAATCAGAGAAACGTGTATTAGCATTTTAAGACATTACTGACAATCTAAAATAAGAACGGACTATAAATACTGCCCAAAGATATCTATTTAATGCTAACTCTAAATAAAATAAAACAAGTATTGCATTTAGTTTAAATGGTATTTTATTAGAGAGATATTCTACTCACACAAAATGGTGTTACTTCAACAATATGAATTGAGATATATGTTTTTTTTACGAGTTAGCAGAAGATTGAAGAAAGATGTCAAAGCTGACAAAGACATCTCTCTCACAAGGATATTTATGCAAGGTTCATTGAATCGAATCAAATTCACGTTATAATTTATAAGACGATTCACTTCCGCAGATAGAATTCAACGCGAGGTAGCACAAGTGTCTGCTCAGGACACTTCCCCCTTTTTCCCTTTCATTATCCACGATGCTCTTTGCGCTACAATACAAGAGGAGCACTTTCTTGTATGTACTAAGAAGGCGGCACGGGAGATGAGATACAGAAAAGAGGAAAGAGCAGCGCGAGAGGCGCGAAAGGCATACGTTTATGTATATACGAGAGAAAAAGCAAGAGAAACGAGCGGGGGTGGAAGGAAGGAGGTCAGAGCGCATTGCATTCGCATATTGTGCAAGAGGATTACCTCGGATTATGCCCGACTGAGCGCAAACAGGATCACGTCACTTCTGTTTGCAAGACGCCAAGCTGTCGATTTAGTGAATTCAAACTCGATTCTATCTCGCGCGGAATCGCCAACGGAACAGCGATTTTCCGAGAGACTTTTTCTTAATCGTATGCGATTTAAATTCGACAAGATTAAATATCTCGCATAAAGAGGACTTACTACATGCGCGATCAACTTTTTAAATTTCTCTTTCAATTATGAAATAATGTACTTAATGCAAGATAATACTGTGTTTCTTGATAAGAGTTATAATCTTAGAAATATAACTCTGTAATTATAGAGAAATATTGCTAATGTTGCTTACATATTTTTCCTTTCGTTCAAATATTTCTCTTTCAAATCAATGAGATGCGATTTTTCAAATAACTTATTTAACATTAAATGTTTTATGATTATTCGGTAAATTAATCTTTTATTAAATTAAAAATACACGCCAGTTAAATGTTAAATGTTTTTTGATGATAACCTTGAAACGAGATTCTTCTAAACTTTGGACAATTTGCAGAAAATCCATGAACTCGATTAATTGTTTAAAGAATCAAATTATTAAAAGCGTATTATCGTTGGACAAATAAAGGATTCTTAAACTTCTTGAACTGAAATTAAAATTTTCCAAACTGTCGAAGATCGTTCGCTGCTGATCTAACAAATGATGTGGAGATGTGGAGAACAAAGTTAGGGAGCACAGAGTCATGTATAACGCATAGTGCATAAAAAAATGAACCAATCAAAGTTCTTCATTTCTTTCCTTTCTATGAAATAAAAGACCTTGGTTGATTTTTTCTGACCTATGCATTATGCGTTATGCAAGGATCTGTACTTTTGCATTTAACGCGTAGTTATCGCGGGGCAAATTTGAACTCTCTTGAACGCTCCGCAAACGCAACGCAACGCAACGCAATGCAACGCAACGCAACGTAACGCCGGTTCTACATTAGTTGCAAGCTGATTGCAAGTTCGTTGCGACAGCCAATCTGAAATTTGCATTTTGAAATCAACGCTTCATATTGGCTGTCGCAACAAACTTGCGATCAGCTTGCAATTAATGTAGAACCGACTCAACGCAACGCAACGCAACGCAACGCAACGCAACGCAACGCAACGCAACGCGGCGAGACGCGAGGTGTAATGGGGCGATGGCGGGAAGGTAGCATTATACACGCGGATGGTAATAGGTTCCATATCCACGAGCTGCCGGCGCATTATGCTTTACATTTCCGGCGAAACACTGTTAATGGCACCCACAACCGTCGCTACCGCGACTACCGTCGAAATTCACCCCCGTAATATACGCCCAACAACCCCCGCAGGCATTAACCGCTCGCGCTACCGTATAAAGTGACTTCCGCCTGCGATTATGTTCGTCGTGAGCACGTACACGTTTGTGCGTTTGTACATTAATTATTAATTAATACCGAAGAAGAATGAGGCCGCGTATTATCGGCGGTAAACTGTTTCGCGTAATCGAGGACGATTGAGAGATAAATCGCTTTAGCATAACGTACACAGCTTGCGCGGGATTAATTAGTTCGATTCGAAGAACCTGTGCCTTTGTATTCCTTTTTTTTTTACTGTCATTATGTTTACACACACGTAGACGCAAAGTATATTTAACTTTTCCTTATCAAAAAGCTTATGTAAATGTTGTATTTGTTATCTCTTAGGAAAAAAATTTGACACACATATACATCGTTACATAATCATTATGTAATGAAACTTACGTCATTATTACTTTGAGAAATCTACGTCTCTCTCCCTAACTAACAAAAGAAGACAATAATAAGAACTTCACTATTGGACTTACACAAAACAACTACTAATCAAAGCAATCTTAATTTTTCTTAATTGCCAAATTATTCTTGAATTGGAGCATTTACATCTCTCAAAGCATTCAGCAACATAATTTTTATAATCATTATTTTCTTTATCTTTAATTCCCGTAATCTGTAGCAGTGTGCATATATTCGGAAAAATTTGCTTTGCACACAGCTTCACAGAAATTTTCTTAATTATTGTATGACAATGATCGAATCAACGTATTTAATGATATTTTTCGTTTTTATTTTACTCTGATATCGATCAATCCGATAATGCACCAATCCGTTCCAGATGTAGACTGTCGAAAGACGTTTCATTGATCAACGTTAATTCGCGCGCGTCGTTTATAGGATCTATTCCTGTTTAACGGCACGTTAATAATGAACAGTTAACGAGGCGTTAAACGGTTATAGATCTTACGGAAGGCTTCCTTCGAAACATAATACAATTCAATCTAATGCAATTGCGTTCTGTACTATAAGGAGGTTCGCGGCCAATTTTCTGCTCTTTTGCAACAATTTGCTGTTATTTATGAGTTTTCTGCTTCAGATTTTCGAATCGTTTTCATTACGTTATGCTTTTTTTTTTCTGCGAAACTCTACTTAACTTTTTTTGTATATCAGGCCTCTTATCGTTGAATATTCGTTCTTGTAATATATTTCTCTAACTCTGCTTGTTTCTATTTTCTAAGCAAATATATTAGAAAATTAATCTCCTTGTGCATTGAAGCTAAAAGTAAATAATAAACTGTAACTTCAGAAGACAATACTTTTACAGTATTTATAAAATTTAATCTTCAAACTTAAATTTTTTAAATAAATAAGTTAAATAGCCATCAAAACAATGGCTATTTTTATCTTAATTTTTTTTTCAAAAAGATTTAAAGAAACTTTTAGAAATATTCTACTAAAGGATTCTTGCTTGAAAATATTGGCCTAGAAACGGCTTAAGGTGATTCTACACGATCAATAATACTGATTAATAATATTGAATCAGTAATACTGACAGTATGTATCAATATTTTCACAACCTTATACGATCAGTATTATTAACAATATATTTCATTTCAGTTTTACGTACATTATCTATTACACTGTGACATGACTGTGACATGGATTCTAATAAAGCGATACTGATATTTGAGAATCAAAATTCAGATCACCGTCAGTATTTTACGTCAATCCATTAATATTAATCACACACGATTAGTAATATTGTCAGTATATATATATATATATATATACATATACAGAGTCACCTTTAGACATTCTACGGACCAACGTTGTTTACGAGCAACCGACGCCGTTGCCATCGTATATTTACCCCGATTAGAGAACCGGGTTTACCGCAAAGAAGCTGCTGTAGTAGTCGACGCACAATACGCCGTCACGTCGCTGGAAAGGAGCGTTCCACAATAATCGCGTCGAATGTCACCATGGGACGTCCCACACTTACGGCTCTCGACATTCAGACTTTGGGGGGGCTCTTTCATTCGTGCATTTAACATGGCAAATCGTATAAAGTCTATCGCCTAATTACGCCATAATACCGTGACTGTGTGCGGGAGACACGCAGGGGAAAGAGAGAAGAGAACAAACCGAGAAGATACTACGAGACGAGATATATGAAAGGTAGGATATACGAGAAAGACGAGAAATGAGGGAGATAGGATTCGTATGCCTACATATACATATATTCGTCACGGAAATTCGACGCGCTATTCAATCGCATTCGTCTCCGGTACTATACGATGAGTTCGCGGGGGAGAGTGAGCGCCTAACGCTTTAAGCCGTATTATACGCTACGTGCATGCAATCTGCATTCCCGCGCGCGACGCGCATTCGCCTGCCATGGCTGATACCACGAGCTGTGTTAATCAGCAGGATGAATCCCCCGTTGGGATTCGAGTGCGTTTGCTGCGTAGCGAGCGATTAACGGCGCGTTCGCGGTGTTCGATTAATCGAGCGTATACTCTTACCTGAAGACGATAGATATTATCGAAGTAACATACTTTGAATATTTGCATTTTCAACGTCAATATGTCAGACAAAAAGTTCTACTTGCGATCACAGCGATTAGATATTTATATCGATGATTTCTGACAGAGAGAGAGAGAGAGAGAGAGAGAGAGAGAGAGAGAGGGGTAATATTTTTTTAATTTTTTACGGATAAGAAAAATGGGTTAAATCTCAACAATTTGAATTTTGAAAATTCTTGCTCGTATATCGCATTAAATTAATTTTTATTGTGAAAAGTGACAAAAATTATACAATCAATATTACATTCTTTATCACTTTAAAACGAATTTTACTCATAATTCGTTATTAGTTTTATTGTTTTATGCTCAAAATCTAATTTATTTGTATTGTAAAAACGCTAGAAGAACCGTTTAATTAAAAAATGAATATTGCGATTATAATATCTATTATCGAATTTTATTTTCAAATATTAATCAAAAAATTAAACAAAATTTTATTAAAACTAAATTAAAATAATTTTTCGTTAACGAATAAACTAAGAAAGATTTGTGTAAGGTTTTATGGAACGAAACTGAGCAAATCGATAGGTTTAATCGAGTCTTTGAACTTTAGCCGTCGATAGCAGAAGAATTAGACCGATAAAAGAATTAGAGACAACGAAATCTATTTACTGGAAATTTTATTTTAAACTTAACCACTCGATTAAGAAATTTTATTTCTATCTCTTCCGACTAATTTACAATTTAATTATATAATAATAAGTGTAAAATAAAGAAAGTTTAATAATTCAATATTATAAACAAGAAATATTTTTTTCTTTAATTTTCAATCAATCCAAAATTAATGATGGTAGAAATAAATAAATAAAAACATAAATCAATCTAATCGTTGATGTGAAAAATTAATGAACTCTCGACAATAAGCTCTAAGCCCATAATTTATCTAAACTTTAATTTTAAATCGTAAAACGTTGACCATTCATAGCTATAAATTATTTTTTTCACATTTTCGACAGTAACTGTTGAATTATTTACGATTTAAAGCTTAAAGCTCAGATAATGGCTTATTGTAAAAGATTGAAAATTTGATGAGTGAAACACAATAAACCTTTCTACTTTACGTGTATTCTTTCATTCAATACTCCTTAATGAAATTTCCTCACAAACACGTGATCACGTACCAAGAGCTGCCGACGGCCGACGGTGTCCGTCCTCCCTCCGACGTCTTCGTTCGACGAAGGCACCACTGCGAATCCGTTAGCTGATTCCTACTTTCGTTGCACCTCGCATATACGAATCACAGTCCCCGGAGGTGAGTCGCAGGGTCCGTCGCTGTCACTTGCGCGAGATCCGACACTCCGAGATTCTTTACTCCGATCTATTGCTCCAACCGAAATCGTGGCCGATACTTGCTCGCGAGGACACCCCTTCACTCTCGCGGCTGTCGCGCGCTATAAACGTTCACCGGTAAGTCCGTCGAGGGTGGCAGAACGACTTTCGCATCGGTTGTCGCGCGCGACGGGCTCTCGACGGTGGTGAGAGCCGATGACTATTTAACCGCACCGCGCTTACCGATCCACGCGAGTGCAGCACACGTGCTGCTCTGCAGCGTGATTCTTCTCCTCTCTCACTTTCGTGAGAGATCCGTCGAAGACCGGGACGGAGGAGGGTAGTCCCGACGACTCAACGCGGCGCGGCGCGACGCGATGCGAAGAGCTTTGGTATACCTTCAAACGTCTAAATCCTAACAAAGAAGAGCGAGAAAGAGAGATATACGCATACATATAGCAATGTGAAGAAAAGATAGAGAGAGAGAAAGAGTGAGAGAGTGAGAGAGAGAGAGAGAGAAAGAAAGAGAGAGAGGAGAGGGCGGCGAGATGCGTGTTGGCTGTCAGACGAAAAAAGAGGCGAGAGCGCGCGGGACTAGCCGCGTTGGAAATATTATTAGGTAAAGCACACGCACGGACTGACACGCACCGACTCGCGGACTCTCGTTGGGTCGTGCCGCCGTGGTGGCCACGGCCTCGTGTTGGTACGTCCGACTGCCGTTTTGGACCAATGGGCGGTGGGCGCAGTCCCCCTCTCCGCGCTCACACCGCGCTACGCGAGTGGGGGATCTTGGCTCCGCTTCGTGACATCATCGATTCTGAATGGTGGAGATGCTCAACCGTGCGGAAGGTACATTGGAGGGCGCGTGCTGCGCGCGCAGTGCGCACGCTCGGCAACGTGCGCGCACTGCACCGCACGGGAGTCGGGAAAAAGGACGGACGCCGATCGGGGGAAATATACGGCAGCGTCAGATCAGTCAGATGGAGACGAACCGCAACGCGAGAACGATATGCCTCTCGGTCTTCTTCGTCTTCTCTGTCCCCCAGCATTCACAATTATCTTTTTTTCTCTTTCGACATTTCTCGGTTAATCGAGATCGATGATTTAGAATAAAAAATTGTGCCCATCTGTTGTTATTGCCGTCACAATTTCAAGATTAAATCTGATTTAAAATTTATCAAAAAATATCATTAAATATACGTATAAAAGATTTCGGATTATTAATAAGTAATTTGGATTATTAATAAGTTAAATGACAATTTTTATTTATATGTTTTAACAGTAAAGATTTAGGGTAGGATAAAATAATATTCTTCTGAGCTGCAACGAAATGCCAATAAGTTGATACAATACACGATTCATTAAAGAAATATTGATAGATATATGATATAATTCAAGTCCACGATACATGTCGCGTTCAATAAAATGACTTTATCTGTGGTATATTCTAGGTTCCTAATTATGAATGTAGCATGATTACTCTCTTTCTACAGATAAGACTATATTATCTTTATGCTTACTTGAATCAACCTTGACAGTTTTGGACAAAAATAGCAGCAATCTCAAAATCTTCATGAAGTATTTTTCTAAAATAAATTGCTCTTAATTCTATATTGACGTATCTAAATTTCTTATTGCACTTAAAACATGAATTTTATTAATAAAAGTTATATATTTTTTTTTAATTAAATGTTTAAAATATTCTCATTTTAAATTGTTTTTTATTTATATCACATTCAGGTACATATTAAATTCCACATCATTCTTTTCTTAATTTTGAGTCTTAAATTTATTGAATTTATTTTATAAAACAGATATTTCAACAAATTGCAGAATAAAAAAAGAATACAGATAAATAAAATTTTCCCATGCTGAAATACATTTTGATGTGTTCAAATATAAACAATTTTCATAGAAATTGTGACAAATTTCAAAAAAGGAAAGATATTTTGTAGCTAGGTATCATTTCTTATCGTGTTGTTTAAAATTTTTCCTTTTGCATTTTTTCAGATTTTTACGAAAATAAGATTAGCACGAAAAAAAAATCACAGAATCGTTACTGTATAAATATTAAATACAAAACAATTCATATTGTACTATTTCGGAATTTTCTAGGACTATCATTTTGTAAAATCCTATTTGTTATTTATTCGTTATTTGTCTCTTGTTTAAATATCTTCAAATTTTCGCCAATTTTCATGACAGACGGAGATAAATTTCAGGAAAACGAGAAAAACGCAAGCATTACGTCGTCGGAATTTCGCATCGTTCGCGCTCCGAAAGCCGAGGAAAGGCGCGTCTCGCGCAGAGGGATATTAAAATATAATTGGCGTTTGTCCCCTACGCGTGCAAAGCGGTATCTAGTCACGCGTGGACCGACCAACCGTGGGTGTTATGCACGCCAGAGTACGTCAGGCGCGCGCGGGGGTGATTCACCCTCTCTATGTGCCTTGGTGTATCCCTACGATCTTTCTCGCGGGACGAGAGGCAGGGAGGGTAGAGGTGGATGCATCCGCTCCCTTGTCGACGTGCGTAAGGCCGCAAGCTCGTTTCACACGGAAAATACCTTGCGAAGAATCGAGGCACAAATCGTTTATTTTGAAAGCGATTAATTTTAAGTTCCAATTCTGAAGGTATCGTGACTTCCAATTGGGATACGGAAACAAAGTAATACGGCATCTATCGATCTTGGTAACTTGGAAACTGACTTACGTCGCTTTCGAACGAAACGAGGTATGTAATAGGTTCGAAGAAAGTGGAGCGAATGCTTTTATATTGATTTATCGAAGATGTTTCGAGAAACTCGAATAACACCATCGGGACATTTGTCTTATTGGAATTTAAACGTTTGTTTCTATGTGTAGAAGTAAGTATAATAAATTGTCTTTAGAAAATGATAAAACCAAATTATAGATTTATTTCTATCGTAGAAAAAATCATCATTAAATATTTGTAATTTCATAACTTTATTGTTAATAAATATAAATAAAGAATAAAATGTAATAAAACGGAAATTATATAAATGTTTGTATACAAGTATCTTTAATGTTATCTCAAGAGATATAAATATCTATTTTTTATTAATTATGCTAATAAAGTGAAAAGATGCTTCGCATCTTGAAATTTAATTCTTTTTTTCTTTTTTTATGCTGTCTTTTATATACCTCTCGATTCAATATTTTCTAGAAATTAAAGAAATATCGATCTAATTTGCGAGAAAGAACAATACTATCACGTAGGTCATCGGTCACCACGTTGAAGCCTTTCAGGCCGTTGATATTTTTTTTGCTATAAAAAGAAATGTAATTACAAAAAAAAATTTTTTAAATAATATTTACCAGTAGTTTCATATATAGACATAATTATGATAATATATATATATATATATATACGATGCAATATTGATACGTTATACCTTCTTTTTTATAATAATTTTTTATAATAATTTTATAATAATTTTTGTCACTTTTTTGAACATTATGAAATACATCTGATTTAACAAATACATAATTATTAAACAAATGCAAATAAGAGTATTATGGATCACCGATGATTCATGCAGTGTAGTCAAATCGTTTAAAATTAGTGCGGCATGAAGCATGTTAATAACTATTAACAGATAACTTGATAATGGTCTCTCTACAGCAAATAAGTTTATTAATTTAAACTAATTAGATTAATTTGAGAAATATATCGATCGAATTTGAGAGATATATCGATTAAAAAATTGCATGAAATAAAAACCACAATCACGTAAGATAATTATGTCACATCAGCTCGATTAAATAGAACCGAATGAGTTATGAAGGTCAATCTTTGTGCCATAAGAAACTTGGAGAAGTTTACTTAAGTTATCTTTGCGCTTCACGGAAACTTCAGAAGATAACAGTTGCGAAATGAAAACAAATTTCGACAGATGCTTGAAGTAATTTAGCTGCAAGTAGATTTTTTTTTTATATTTTAATAAATGTATTAGCCTTTTTGTAGATTTTAAAAAAGATTTTGATTGAAAGAAACAGAAATCCGATGTTTTAGCAGAAATAGTATATATTTGAAAATAGTGTCGTAAATATCAAGTATAAGTATAGCAATAAAACTAATTAAAATTAAAATTTTTATATTAAAAAAGTATTATGCTTACTCTCGTCAACATTGATTAGACCTTCAAAATGTCTTTTAATTTGCGATAATTTTATGAAAGTTTGACTTAAATTAATTTAAAATTATACAGGATTCATAAAAGCCCTTAAATATGATCCTTCATAAAATAACTTAATTATTATAGTTGAGTTTTTAACTATGCTTTATAAGTTCATGTTTTATAACTTATGCAGCCTATTCATTCATTGTTTGTTATATAGTCACACTTTGTTATGTAGTTATCGATTTATTATCATCTCAGTTTACGTATTTACTATAAATAGATATTATGGAAAAGAATAGTTTTCGAAAATTTTCGACGACTTTTTTTTATCCGAGACCTATAGATCTGCGTGCGCAGTCGCGTTTGCGGATATCCCAGCATCCGGAAAGCTGCCGCTGCAGGTCACGATGTGAACCCGGCTTTAGGAGATCCACGCGGTGGAAGTAACGCGTTTCGATTTTGCGTTAGCTCAGCTACGCGTGAATCCAGCCAAGGTCAAGTCGTTCCCCGTTTCCGAGCATCCCTCCGGCACTCGGGCAGGGCTCTTAAGATCGATTCCAACCAATTTTATACGTAGAGTGGCGCGCTACAAAAGCACGATAATGTTGGTGAGACGCAATTATCCTCGTTTACACCTTTCAACGTTACCTGCTTTTGACCAACCCGTTGTTGTTAATTAACGCGTTTTAATAAATTAAAGTGTTTGTGTCTGCATATTCTCGGAAATTGTAAAGCAAGGAAGTAAAAAAAACACAAAAGCCAATTTTTGATATAATAAATTGTTTACTTTAAAAATATAAAATGCATAGCTTCAAGAAACAAGCTCGATGACATCGATTTTCGATATCGTATTAGTTTATCTTGGCGTTTCAATCAACTCCATATCTTTCCAAAGTTGTTCTACTTTTATAATAAGCGGATTCTCCGATCTCTCAAATATAAATTTCTTTTTCACTGTTTCTTTTTTTTATACTTCCTTAATAGTGATTTTATTGAAACGCAAATTATTAAAATATTATACGTGGAAGTATAAAATTTATGTAAAATGCTCTTTAAGAGGCAAATAAAAAATAACATTATTAACAATCTTGGATCTTGAATATAATTAAAATAACAATAAAGCAATAATAATATACTAGATATGTAATTTACAATTAAAATATACAAAGATGATTACATACATTAATGTAATATATGATACACTAATTTCTAATATATAAATCTTAGAATTAATATAATATTAAATTACCAATTAAAAAGAATGTTAGCGAAATAATAAAGTGTAACGTAAATAATAAAGTGAAACGTAAATATTATTATACATTTTATTGTTCTCTCTTTTTTTCTCTCTTTTTCTCTATCTCCTTTTTTCTAACTTACATTTTAAATATCGATTTAAACTTTTCGAGATCTCTCTTTACATATCGATATCGTTCTCTCTACATGGTAAACACAAAACAGATATGCAACTATTTTTATCAATATATGTTTAACGAGCCTGTTATCGACTCCGTGCTTGTCT